CATATCGGCAACCACAACCACAATCCAACCTAAAAACGGTCCGCAATCGAGGGTAACTTATGTATCACTGAGATTTGTCAGATGAAAGTACTTGATCCGACACATCCCGGTGGTCACGGTGGGTGCCCATGTTGGAACGTGCCTCACCCACAGCTTGGCGTTGAACTGGGTATTGTCGATCCTTATCTCTGTCGACCTATCGATCGGTAAAACTATATGCTGTTCTGAGATCACGATCGGCTACATGGACGATCCGTGCACAGGTCTGCGTCCTTCTAGATGAATCCTCACTTCATACGGCAATACCAGTGTCCCATCAGCTAAATCCAGACGTATACCTGCGGGTACCATGAAATCCATACCCAAGATCGCTTCTTGGCCGACTTGATCACCCACTCACACATCAAGATAGTACACCAGTGATCCATTTAAGGAGACCTTGATCTTGGTACGCCCTTCGGTCATGTACGTGCTTTCACCTATCCCCACCCACTACTGTTTTTGATTCTCGTCGATGACACATCCTACCTTACGAGCAAATGCAGTGTCCACGATCGAGATCTCAGCTCCCGATTCAAGTAGACTTGTGTCCTTTCTATTGTTAATTGTTCCAACCACTTTAGCTTGCTTGAACCATATTCTTGGTGTATGGTATTTTCAATATCCCCTTGACTCACCTGGCGCTAAGACAACTTTCATCTTGGTGGGCGATCGGGCGTACTCGGCATGTCTTTTAACACTCGAAACGGAACGCAGACAGTTTGAATAATCGCATGTATTATGTCGATCATCCTGCTTGTCATCGCTTCCGTCGACCAACTTCCTCTCCTCAAATGCATATATGCAGAGCCTAGAACGCTCGGCTCATACCAGATTCCAACCTGGCGAGCGTCCTAATTTAGCATCTTCTCCGCTTGTTCCAGCAACAGCACTGTATGCTTGGTAGGAACATACCATTGGCGGATCATGTTATAAAACTGTTCCATCGGTCACTTTCCTTCATCGTGGACTTTCTTGCATACGGAACACGCGTAGTAACATTTGTCCGCAGGATGACCTTTAAGTCCGCACTTCTGACACGTCAGTCTCTTCCAACACTCGCGACAGTCATGTCTTTATGACCTACAGTGCGTACACGCTGTTTGAGACTTTCCACGATCGTAGTGCCTCTCTTGATCGAATCTCTCATTTTGAACGATCGGGTCTCCTGGCTTCTGAGCGCGATCTGCAGCTGTAGCCATGTACGCATTTCGTCGACCGGAGTCAGTATCCGATCCGCAGGAGTCAACTTCTGATCCACTGCTCTCGCTTTCCACGTGGATTGCTCTCACAGCCCGGGCCAGTTTCGCAGGCATTTGGGCCGCCTGTGACGTAAGACGCTGTCGAAATTTATTCGAACCCATAGAGGCGTGAGCTTCTCTGCCTTCCATATTTTCGCATTCTTGCAGAGTTACTTCCAGATTGTCTGTATCTCCAAGGCGTAAAATTGTCAACATTCTCACCAGATCACGATCGTCCAGGGTACCAATGTAATGATTCACATGTTTCTTGCGGATAGCAGACGATCCATATCGTATCGAGATTTTCTCCCGGATCGCAGCCACATTCAGACGGTATAAGTACTCCGATGGAGTACCGTTCAATCACTTACGGGCTTGGCAGTAGAGTGTCCCAACCGAAATGCGATTCTCCCCTCCGTATTTGGCCATGAAGCCTTCCAGGAGTGCCTTCCACGAAGTCCTCGTTGAGAGGCTGAACTGGTTATACCATTCACGCGCCGGTATCGTAAGAATATCGCTGAACGCCAGGCATTTCCCTGCATCAGGCGCTTGATCGCGTAGGAACGCTGACTTCACCCTAATGATCCAGTTTCTGGCCCTTTATTCAATCTTTTCTCGTCCGGTAAAATCTTTCAGTTCGGCAATGGCAGACATCCGCATTCTTTGGTTAGAGAACCCACCACCATCCGCTGCCCCTGCCGTTGCCACCTGTGGTAATCTTTTATCACCTTGGTCTCGGTGCTCACGACGATAGTCATGTGATCTACTAAGACGCGATCCAACCTCTTCAGCACAGGGTCACTCGAAAACATCTTCTTCAGCTCCTTTAAATGGTATTCCCGTCTGATTTCGTCGAATCACCAATCCTCAAACTTCATTTCGCGATCCACTGACTGTGAGGCTCGATCCGTCTTCTCCGTCTTGACCTTGTATCCGGCTTGCCTGTTCTTGTAGACGTTTCGATCTTGTTTCACCGCGGCCAGCTTCTTTAAGTCTTCCGAACTCTTCGCTTCATTCTTCATTATTTCAGATGGTTCATCTGATGTGAATGAAAATAGTTGGAGGAGTCCCTTAGGACTTTCATCCTGCAGATCGTGATTTGTGGCGCGATCTGTGGTAACCCCCCCCGAAGGGACCTCAGGAGGGGGTCAGGTATTTTCTTCCAGATCGTGCGACCGATCTTCCTCTTTTCTTTTCTTGTCGTCAAAGCCCCTCCCAAAACTTTGACGATCTGAAGATCCTTCAGATCGTCAAAGTTTTCTTTTGCTGACGCTTCTATCCCAGGATCAGTCTTGATCTTGACCTCTTCGCTCAGGGACTCCCGGTATAAACCCGAGTCACCTGAAGATCCGGGCACGCGCACCAATCTAATGGAGTGGCGATCACACATTCCTTGTGACCCCGACTCTCCACTGGCGCCCGGATGACCGACTAATGGTGGGGGTACCTCGATTTCGTGTTCTGTATCTTCTTGCTCACCTTGGGTACCGTCGGCGGGGCGGGTTACACTCTTCTTGGTGGACTTGAGTTGAAGCTGAAGTTGACCGCTTTAGGGATAGGGGTTGATCGGGTGGAAACTCTGCACCCGTTTAAACGTGGGGTGGATAGAGTGGAATTTCTTCACTCTATAGCAAGTACACTTGGGCGCTCTCCCAGAGTCGCCTGTATCCAAACGTGATGCTTGATCCGCGAGCCTTCTGACCACTTGAGCCGTCTCGCGATCTTGCATCTGAACCGTAAGGATCCCTGCGTCCGATCGAAGTTGGGGGGAGTGAGAATCGATGTTCCGTTTGGCCAAAAACTCTAAGGGCAAAGCTTGCAGAGACGCGGGTCACTCTTTATTCAACGGGAGGCCAAAGTTCCCGCCCGGGAGAACTCGACGCGTGTCTTTCGTTGCAAATTCAATTCCGTTTAATGTCAACCAACCAAATCCAAAACCTATGACTATGTCTATCTGTTCGCTAGATCACTGTTGCGTATCGCCTGTCTATGTAATTCACCTCGTGCATCATCTGGTCCACAGCAGATACTCGGGTGGAGGATCGCTTCGTAGCGGATCGCTAGGTAGTGGATCGCGCGTGCGTGTTAGCAGCTACGCGGGATAAAAAAACATCTTTTATAGCGGTAGAAACAATAAGAGAAGAGGAAGCAGTTGTGGAAATGTCAGAGATATTTTTACGGACCAATAAGATGAAATTGGACAAGAAATTGATGAGGGAGATGACGATGCGCGTAACTGAGACACTAAATTCGTAAGTAGGCAAATTACAATTGCTCGGTCGTTAAAGGTAGTGGTCTAAAACGCTCCTTACAAGTAGTAGAGTCGGCCACAATGGATGAATGGTAATTAACAGAGATCGTGTATAAGAAGAAGTCTAGACGATGCATACGTAAGAAGTATGGAAGCTGCATACGTTATGGATCTAGTACTAATGTTGCCGACAATATATTAATCGAAGATAAGGTGTTTTAAAACTCTTTAACTAAAAACATCCGTCGGCCATAAATTAGATCTTTACTGCATAATCTAATCAAATTGCAATAAAAGTAATGTTGTTTTAGAAAAATAATAAATCGGCCACAGCTTTGTGCTAAATAAAAATAGATGGAGGGATTAGCGGTAATAGTGCGCCTCCCCTTCACGCGGGTTGCAGCATTAATCCTTTAAATACAACGAGACGTTTGCACCGAACGCTAAGTACACGTCGGCAGAGTTGTGCTTAGCCTATCTGCCAAGTATCATATTAGTTTGCACCAGTTGCAGGTAATTACGGCGTTCCTACCGATATTTGGATGGCGAAGTGGCACAAAAAGGAGACGAGTACCCAAAAGAATTACACGCACATATCGTTTGTAGACCCAATAGAGCGATGTGCGAACGATAGCAATTACCGCGTATGTGGAACTAGACCACAGACATAGTCGCGATCAAGGTCGGATTCGTATTCTTGACACTTTGACTTCATTAAATATAGAATGTATCTGCTGCTGGCCAAAACTGATCAAGTACCGAAATCTACAACTTTTCAAGGAAGCACTGTATTTTGTAACCAGCGCACAAGACAAAGTCCGAGCTGATTTTCTTGATAAAGCTTGCAACGATACCAAAAATGTACATGATATCAGCAGTATATGGCTGTTCCACCCAGTGCTACTGCTCATAACGCGTATAAAGTGGCTCAAGATGCGAAGACGATCGATGCTTACAACACGTCATGAATAGATATGAATCAGCTTAAAAGCTACGTTCATTCCCATCACACCATCAAGTCAAGCATGATGTCACGCCGAAGTCGAGTGTGTCACCGTGTCGCACGTAAATATCGAACGGTCGCTCGCACTTCAACTGACGCTTATGTCACGTAACTGCACTTGTTGTTTGTCGGGAACCTTTTTAATCTTTTAGGGTGTAAAGGTGGAACGATGTCAAGCTTTTGCTTTAGATATCATGTGTCCTTCTTATGGAGACTGTAATTGCATACGAACCTTTGATCGAATCGGTATTTTATTCGAAATCGAACAACAGCCGTGTATTACTGTGTCACGACACCAACTTCAGCTTCCAAGATATCCACCCCGGGCTGCGTAACGCCCGAAGCAGCTACTACCGAACACTGACTCGACTCAGACTGAAACAAAGGACTTCAAGTAGTTGCAGAGAACCCGATCCTGCTCATTCTTCATTTCGTGCCCTACGAGAAGATCCAGTCAACTCTCGCCATGCACCGACAGATCTTTCGCTACGCACGCGACGTCCACGCCAGACGGGCTGCACGCGCTGTCAAGACACGACCGCATGTGCGATCCCACCTATTTTCCAGCCCCGTCGCTGTCCAGCAGACCAATTTGCTCATCAACGGCGTCTTCGTGCCGTCCCACTCGGGCAAAACCTTCGAGATGTTCATTCTGGCAACCAAAGAGAAGATCGCCGAAGGGGCAGACGCGTTCTCCGCCGACATTGATGCGGACGTCGAGGCTGCCCGTGCAGCCTTTTGAGGCCCGTGGCGCACTATCCACTGCAGAGCGCGGCCACATCACGCATAAGCCCGCGGACCTGATTGAAGCAAACATTGACGTGTTAGCTGCTCTCGAGGCGCTCGCCACTAGCAAGCCGTGTGCTAGAGCAAAGGGGGGCCAATCTTGGGCTCGTGATCAAGACGTATGACACGGGTGGTATCGTCGATGACGTGCGAAAACAGACGATGATTTCCAAGACGATGATTGCCAAAATGATTGCCAAGATGATTTCACTAGAATGTGCATTATTTGATTGCATTAGTTCGTTGCACCAGTCTAGCCTACCTACTATACCTCCAACTGATACATTCTCCGCTTTATCTCTAGAACTTAAGTTCCTCTGCCAGCCACGAGCCGGGTCTGTCAGGTTTATACATTAAACTTGGCCAATCAAAATCGAGAATTTTGTCGCCTTCAACATGGGACGTAGCAACGAGGATGAGTACGTCACGTACACGATGGTGACGTGCCAAGCCAGTGCAACTGCACCAGCTGACGTCGCCAAGATGAAGATCAAGCGTTTTGCGGTGGATCCGCGAAGTACTGGATCACATGGAGTATGAAGTTCAAGAGCCTCGCGAAAATAAAACGCTGGGGTGCTGACCAGCTCACCGTTCAACTGCTCACGCTGATCGACGGTAATTTTTTCTGTGCGAGGTAGAGATCATCGCCAAAGAATCTTCCGAGAAAGGAAAACGTTCGAAGACAATAACCGTCAGGTCGGCTTTCTCCTGGTTACAGCGAACTACAATGAATACCTAAATGGAGTGATATGGAACCTTACCGAGCGCCGCGGTGAACCATTTTAACGCTGCTTGGCACGTATGCGAGAGCTTGCTGAAGTGTACGCCGACTTGCTACAGGATGCGCAAAACATCCTGGAGGTTCAAATATGTCGCTAGTTCCGCCAAGAAATGCCTCCGAACTGGCAAGATATGCTTGCATTTCGTTTAATCTCATACAAGACCATTACTGAACTTGCGTTATACATTAGCGCCTGGAAAGGCGCGAAAGGCAGAATTTCCGCGAACGCCAGAATATTAAAGGAAAGATGGTAAAATGAGTCAAGTTCGGCTCGATCAGCAACGCCCTTTCAATGACCGCAATGATCGCAGAAACCGGCACAACCAGCGCGAACACTGTGACTCACGCGACAATCGTCATCGCCGACGGAATGGTACAGACGAAAAAAAATAGCGCCATTATGATAATATTATGCGGTATACGTTCCACAAAACAAAGTATTACAACTTCAGCGAGTTCTCCGCCCTCAAGAAGTAGCGCGAGGAGCACAAGCCTGCCGAGATAATGGAAACAGACCGAGCCAAAACAAGTACCCAGATCCGGAGAGAGTTAAGCGGTTGCGACAGCGAGTTTAAGCTCGTAAGTCCGGTCGCCGAAAAACAAACCAGCACTAAATTCGCTCCGTTACGCATCAAGATTCAGTTTAAAAACACAACGGCGCCTTCGATGCGCTACTAGACAATGTTGCGTCGTTGAGCATCATTAAGTAAAAGACTATCCAGGCCAATATCCAGCTCAGCCGTTAACAAGTCGCATCGACGACAAAGTTTCAGACGGTGAATGGCGAGGTGGCGAGTGATGGTAGTGCAATCGTTCAGCTCCGATTTGCATCCCTCAAGCCTTCGGCCATCATAACTAACAGGTTTAAAATTTATAGAGAATATACAAGGTGATATGGGGATCGGTCATGACATCATGACTTCGTTGGGCGAAGTTCTCGATTTCTAGAAAAGGTTGTTCAGTGGAATAATAACTATGTGCACCTAAACACCGGCAGGACACACAATTTCGAGATGAGCAACCGCTAATTCCTCGACAAAAGCTAAGGAGTCGCTAAAGTGCAGTTTGCTTAGAAGAACTCATGCCCGACACGCTACCCAGCTCTCCCGCCGACAAATGTATCCAGCTTCTTCCTAAACAGAAGACCTTGTTATATGGTCACTTATGAAGAATTAGATTCGATAATTACACTCTGCCTATGACGCCTGACTACAAGACCATTCACACCAAGCCCTATCTAGTCCCAAATAGTCTCGAAGGAAAGGCGAGAGAGCCTATTTAACATCTAATTATTGTCGACGTGCTGAAGAAGATATATGATTCGGAAATGGCATCGCTAGCCTTCTTTCTGAAGAAACCCAACCGTTCAGTTCATCTCCTGATCAACTTTCGTAGGCTCAACCGGTATTCGTAGCGCAGCCTATACTATGCCCCACGAATTCGAGAGAGTTTATTAATCTTGCGGTATCGAAGTGTCTCTCTACGCTGGATGCAAACATGGGGTACTACGCGCGTGGTCTCGCTCCGTCAAGCCAAAATCTACTGTTTTCTTCTTACCTTTCGGAAAGTTTCATTACAAGCGACTTCCACTAGGAATTTCTATGGCGCCGGACGAATATCAAGCGTTCATGAAGAAGATGTTTAGTGACTAGGATTTGTTGCCATTTATCTATACGATATCCCCGTTTACTCTGATAGCAAGAATACACATCTCAAATTCCTGGGTATCGTGTTCAAGCGTCTAGATAAGTATGATGTTGCTGTCAACGGCAAGAAATGCCACATTCTACGCGAGTCCATTGACTATCCCGGCTTTAAGCTGACATCAGATGGGATTCAAGCTCAGCACTTAAAGATATAGGCAATTCAGCATATCGTCGAACCCAAGCCTAGAAAAGAACTACGACCCTTCCTCGGAATGATCAAATACTACAGGGACATAAACACAAATAAGATGAAATTATGCCGACCGCTTAACCGCTTCACAAGCTCGAAAGTCCCGTTGAAATGGCTACCCAGTAACTTGGAAGCGTTTCAAGCTGTTGAAAAAGCGATTGCGCAAGCGGTAGTGCTTGCGTTTCCCAATTTTGAGCAACCATTTTATGTTTATGCTGACGCTACCGGCAAGCAGATCGGCGGAATCATAATGCAGAGAAATCAGATTCTTGCATGAAACTCGCGAAGTCTGAACAAGCATCAAGAAAATTACACTACAATGAAATTCGAGCTTCTTTCGATTGTGAAAACGTTGCGCAAATACCGAACCATGCTGCTCGGTCTTTCATGTTGACGTGTACACCAACCACAAGAATCTCATATATCCGACCAAAACCAGCCTGCGAGTCAAGCGCTGGAAGCTTCTCTTCGCGGAATATAGACTTTCAATGCATTACATCAAGGGGACAATTTTTTGGTGCTGACGCTTTTTCGCGGTTTCAATTTGACAACTTGATGAAAAAGTCTAAGTTGCAGGTTGCGGAATAGGTTTGTACGGCGACCGATGAGCCAGACTGTGTCATGCATGGTCCTGTCCTACGCGATCACTAAGAGAAAAGCGACATGATTTAGAAGATCAAGACATCGAGTCTCAAAGGCAGCAAAAACGATGACTATCAGCCTTTACCGCTATTCGTCTGTACGCTATTTGCGTACCAAAATAGCGTCATTCTGATCGACAGCCTACGAGATGACCTAAATAATTGGTACCATCTAAGTCTGGGACATCCCGGAAGTGAACGCCAGTACAAGAAGATGAGAAAGGTGCTATAACGGCCCAATATGGAAGCCGTGGTAAAAAAGAAGACGGAGAATTGTCTTGTTTGCAAGAAGGCCAAGTTACATGGAGGCAAGCAAGACTACGGATTATTGACACCTCACCTCGGACACTCTGGACATTGAATCGTTTCGACACTTTTCATGTTTATTTGATTGGTCCCTACGAAGATACTAACTATGTCATTACAATAGTCGATCACGCCCCGCGTTTGCTGGAAGTGTGTATCCAGCCTGATAAAAATTCTCTGACCAAAGCCAAGAGCTTCGTTTGTGAATGGCTGTGCAGATGTCTGTAACGGGGCACTGGTGACAACGTACTGGTTGACCAGTACGGAGCTCACATCACTGACAACTGTGATAGTCAGTGCCCATCGAAGTGTTGCACAAGCACAGAGGAAGGAAAGGAGACTAAGTGAACACTCTAGTCTCTGTTAAAACTAAAACTGTTATTAATATAATTAAGTCCCATCAATCTTATGTCTCTGTTTATCCTGACTTAATTATATAAACTCAACTAAACGTATGATGACGTCTACTCACCACCCATTGCGCGCGTCTAGCAGCGATTGGTGGGTTGATATCATCACGAAATCAACCAGTGAGTAGACCATTCGGTCATCTTCAACAATATCATCATGCTCAGTGAAATTGTTCAAATAATATTCAACGTAATATTCTTTTTTGTCATTTTAGCCTTAATGCCAATATCATGAAATGCGCTACCCCGTTACAATATCCGTGTCCGGTGAAAGTCATACACAACCAAGGGACGGAGTTTACTGTTGGATTCCAGGAGATGCCACACAGCTAAAAAAATCTATTCCTATCCCTTAACAAGCAAGAACCCCACAAGCGAACGCGATTTGTGAAAGCTTTCGCCTAGAAAATTTTAAACTTCATCCGTTACCTCGATGGTGTTGACTGGAAAAAGACCATACAATACGCTGCATTCGCCGTGAGAGCCAGCCGCCATAGAATTTTCAATGCTTTGGTAGATCCTCTTCTCTTCAGGCAAGACATGATCACCCGTCAGTTCTATAAATGCAAGCTAAATCTACCTCTTGAACCGTTGTTTTGATACAAATCTCGCTGACAATGACCGCCAGAATAGCAAACGCATCAAGCATTTCTTCAATATAGGCGACCACGTGATGGTACGGGTTCCAAAGCAGTTTCGTACTATATTTTCACGCCTTGGCACAAGGACTGTTTCTCATACGCGTAGTTCATGACAATGGAACTTTCAATATCAATAAGGGTAAAGCAAATGAGCGTGTGAGCATCCGCCGCATTTTACATGCTGATTTTTACAGATTATGGGAAGATTATGACACAGGTTTTATCGTGGATGACCTGCGAGAACAGACAATGATTGCCAAGATGTTTGCAGCAGTACGTGCATTAGTTGATTGCACCAATAGATTGCATCAGTCTAGCCTACCTCCTGTACCTCCAACTAATACATTCTTTATTTCACTATCGAAGGCTTAAGCTCCTCTGCCAGCCAAGAGCAGGTTCTTTCACGTACCGGTACTACGCTGGCTGGTCCGACAAGATCCACATCTCGGTGATTCCCATTGCAGGACCCCATTCGTACTACACCGAGCACGAGCCTGTTGTCTTGTGTGCTCAGGTCATCCCGTGGAACTTTGTGCTCTTGATGATGGCGTGGAAACTCGTCCCTGCACTCGCGGATGGCAACACGATTGTGCTAAAACCCGCCAATCAAACCCCAACATCGGCTCTACATGTTGGCAAGCTCATTGGGGAAGTTGGTTTTTCAACGGGCGTGATCAATATCGTACCAGGTGTCGGTGATGCGGGAAGATATGTAACGGGGTTACACGTCGACTGGTAGTCGACGATAGGTGTGGTGCACACAAGAAAGGGGTACCCTGTAAAGTGATAGTAGAACACTGTAAGTGTATCAATTGTTGAAGACTGATGTCTGTCAACAATTGATTACGAGATCTTTAGAGAGGTTTTACTTTGAACCTTAGTGACTAGGTTAAGTACGTTGTTCTATGGTGTTCTTTAGGTTTAAAGAAGAAATAAAATTCAGTTCCCCTTTTGATCAATAAGAGACACGTGCCTTACGAGGCGTCTTTGATCGGGAGGACAAAAGCAACGCCTGTGAAGGTAGCTTGTCCTCGAGCACTCTGTGCTGTGATTCGTTTGAATCGTTTGGTTCCTCTGGAACGGAACCGTTAGCTCTCTGAGCTATTGACTCTCTGAGTCGGGTTCTGTGAACCAAAGTTGCTCGTGAGAGCGTTAAAGTCTTCCTCTGACTTAAGGAGCTGTGTAGCTCCGCTACACTTGGTAGCACTTGTAGTCAATCTACGCCTGAGTCGTTACGACTGACCCTCTGCGAGGATGGGGCAATCCACTCCTCAATGAGGCCCAAAAGGGTGCGCTAGATAAGCTAACCGCGGCCGTAGGCCCAGAATACGTTGAGTTTCTCGCTCCACAAGGTCCCGACGTGCTCAATGCTCGTGTCGAGACCTTTATGCAGTATAAAACGGCCCTTTTAGGGCAGGATCAGAACCAGGTAGCGTCGGCTATGCCCTCAAGCTTTGTAGCTATGCCAGACGAAGAGGCTAAGCCTCGTCCCCTTAAGGTGGACGTCAAGCATTTCTCCGGAAAGGAGGGTGAAACCCTCATCCTCTGGATCCGTGAGATTGAGATGGTCATGAGATCTGGCTTAATCTCAGTCGAGCATCAGCGAGTATCGCTGGCGATCTCAAAACTCGATGGAAGAGCTAGAGAATGGGCTTTGACGTGCGGCACGTCGATCGACTTGGCGTTGTCCACATGGGATTCGCTCAAGCTAGACCTGTTGCGATTTTTCTCGCCGCCTAACCAGGCCTATCGCGTGCGTTCACGCTTCTTGTCCACCCGTCAGGGTAATAACGAGTTAACGGACTATGTCCAAGAGTTGAGAACTCTGATGGCTGCCATGCAGTCTGACCCTCTCCCTGAGACTGTCTGCGTGACATTCTTTATCGAAGGTCTCCGCACTGGCGCTGCCAGGACCGAGGTGTTTCGAGACCATCCCTCGACTTTCGAAGAGGCTGTGAGCATCGCTCAAAATGCTGAGCATAACTTTAAGTCAGCGAGACTTGGTTGGAATGGGTACAACCCAAGATTTGCGAGAGCAACCTCAGCAAGCACCTCGGCTTACTGTAAGCCAGAACCGATGGATCTCAGCTATGCTGAAGATGAAGGTGAAGCGGAGCTTCATGTTGCAGAGCAACGACAGGAAGTGAGACGTTGTTATACGTGTGGAAGCACCAAACATCTACGCTTCACTTGTCCTTTGCGTAAGCAACAACGTAACCCTATGGGCCGCAACCAGAAACCTGGTATAACACGGGAAAACGTCGACACCCAGTAGGCGCGGGGTGCCCGACTGGGGTAGAACTGAGTTCTGTCACTTCTCTACGAGGTAGAGCAAAACAGGGCTTAGCTCCACAGAGCTCCGTGTCAGGAAGCACAGAGCGTGGATATAAGCATGGCTTATTAGTCGCCGAGGCGATAGTTATAGGCTTTGAGAAGCATTGGTCGATCTTAATCGATTCTGGGGCGTCATGCAATTATGCTAGGCGTCGTTCCCTTGAGGGGAGTCAGAAATATGCTGAGGCGATTAAAGCGCACGAAGGTGATTCCATCACTGTTCGGTTAGCGACGGGTAGTCGCGTTACTGTGCCTAAAGTTCCGTTGAACTTGGGCGTGAAGTTTTTGGACTTTGATAGCACAGAACGCTGTCTTGTCCTTGACTTGGATTCGAGATATGATCTCACCCTAGGCATGGCCTGGCTTGAACGCCATGAACTATGGATCGATTGGAGGTCTTAGACCTTAGGCGCAACGCGCAATTTTCCTAGTGAAGTTTTGGATAGTCATGAATTCAACTTCGCTAGGCAACAAAAGCGCTATTGGCGCGAGCAATTGATGGAAGATGTCAATGTGCTGGACATTGGTATGTCGGAGTTGATTAACTGAAATGTCTATGACATGAATATTGAGCGGAGCTCTTCTAACGTATTTGAAGAGAGTTGTACTCCGTTGAGTGATACTCGTTTTGATAATAAGTCACTGCATGCTATTAGCATGATTGGCCAAGGGCCGAGACATCAAGAATGTACTTCCTCTTATGTGAGTGGGGTGGCACGTGAAATTTCACCGAGTGAGGGTGGCCGAGTTGGCAACACACTGAATGTAGGTAATGACATTGTTGGCGATAAGCCAGAGCATACAGGGCTATACCCGGATGCTGGTCGTGAAGTGGTACGTGCAAATTCACTGGGTGAAGTGTTCGAGTTACGTAACACTTCACCAGATGTCGATCAAGACATGAGATTTCGTATAGAGCGTGCTATAGCAGATAGCAACTACGGGGACCCTACTGTCTCGGCCTCTAGGAGGCGTAAGGTTTCTTTGAGGAAACAATCTCGGCGTCGGGTGGCAACTGTCAAGCGCCAGACGTCCGAGATTGTTAAGGAGTGATAATAGTAATGATACACTATATACAATTGTCAATGGAATGACCGGCCATGTTGCTGGCAACATTACTCTTGAGGCTCTTCCTTCTCTAGATAGTCTCTTTGAACTAGTTGAAATGTCTAATGGCGAATTCAGCCAAGCCTTAAAGGCAGGAGAGTTATCCGATCTAGTGGTCATTCGACCCGATGTTGAGTTGAACTCATCCTCTTTATTGGACGAGTCAGTCCTTGAGGACACAAAGGCAACACTTAATGCGCGTAGTGGATCTTCGATCCTTAAGGATCCTCTTGATCCGTTTTATCCTTTGGTAAAGGAATTTTAAGACGTGGTGTGTCACGACCCACCGTCTGTCTTACCTCCGGATAGAGGTGTGCGTCATGAAATTGACCTAGTACCTGGAATTAAATACTGCGTAACACGGCAGTGGCCTTTACCAAAGGAGCAGTGTGACGTCATAGACGACTTCTTTCGTGCAAAGCACGCAGCGGGGATGGTTCGTGAGAGCAAATCTCCTCATTCCACGCCCACATTTTGTGTCCGAAAGCCCAATTGGAAGTGGCGCATTGTTCATGCTTACAATAAGCTTAATGCTGCCACGATCCCGGCTCAGACACCAGTCCCTAGGAAAGATGTTCTTCAGAACAATATGGTGGGATGTACAATGTACAGTGCACTCGACTTAGTAGATGGTTATTACCAATTGCTCATGCGTGAGAAGGATATTTCGCTGACAGCGATTAGTACCCCGAGCGGTATGCTCTGGGAGTGGCTAGTTATGCCACAGGGCTTGTCGAATGCCCCAGCTACGTTCAATTGTCTTGTGACACAACTGTTTCGTCCTCACCGAGGTTATGCACAGACTTACTTTGATGACATTTTTTTCCATAGTCGTGCTATGAACGGCCGGTCTGATGTGGATAATCGCATCGACCATTTAAGAGCAGTGCTCGAGTGCATGCGCACGATCAAGCTGTATGCCAACGCGTCTAAGTGCATCTTTGGTGCAGAAGAGATTCCATTTTTAGGGTGCTTCATTGGGAAGCGTGGTCTTAGAGCGGATCCTACTAAGCTAAAAGCCATAGTCGATTGGCCGGTTAATAAGAACCAAAAGGACCTACGTAAGTGGCTTGGTCTCGCCAATTACTTACACAAGTATAGTGCAAACTATGCAGACATGGATCGGCCATTATCCAATCTCTTTAAAAAGGATACGGAGTGGTGTTGGACTAACACCTAGCATGAAGCCTTTACGGCGGTTAAATAGAGTCTTCTTCATGCGCTAATCTTGGCTTTGCCCGATCCTGATCGGCCTTTCAGTGTCTTCTGTGACGCATCTGATTTTGCCATCGGCAGTGCTCTGTTACAAACAGATGATAATGGACGGGAACGCGTCATTGCGTTTGAGTCCCGACAGCTAAAAGCAGCTAAGAAGAACTATCCAGTTCATGACAAAGATCTACTTGCGATAAAGTATGCTTCAATCAAATACAGAGTTCATCTGCTTGGCTCTAAGCCTTTTGTGATCTATACAGATCATGCGTTATTACGCACTGCGACCCAGTCGCCACATCTCTCTTAGCGAATGGCCCGTTGGCTCTCATTCTTTGCTGAATAAAACTTTGAGGTCAAGTACAAGCCGGGCTAGCAGAATGCTTTGGCTGTTGCGTTATCACGTAGGCCTGACTATGAGCTTGCTCATGTAATGACTCTGTCATCATCGGTCACAGACCTCATTCGTTCGGCATATGCCAAAGATGAACATTGTGTAGCTTTGCTACGTGCTCTGGGGAGCGAGGGGTTTAACGACTCAGACATTAAATTGTCGGCACGTTTGCGTGCGAAGCTACATCGATATTCCATCGATCAAGGCCTGTTGTGCTATAGCACAGATATGGAGGATACTCCCCGTATCGTTGTCCCTCATGATGAGGAATTGAAGTATCGCATCCTCTATGAGGCGCATGATACTGCGGTGAGCGGTCATCTCGGTCGAGAAAAGACATATACCTCCGTGAGCCAATACTATTGGTGTCCCAAACTTTACAAATGGGTAAGCACATACGTGCGTACGTGCGAAACGTGTCAACGGGTGAAACCCTCAGCTCATGCGGCTGCGCCGCTCTCTAGTCTCCCTATACTCTCTGGGTGCTGGGAGTCCATCAGCATGGATTTCATGTTCGGTCTGCCGAAAGATGTGCAAGGCAATACGTGTATTGTGGTCTTTGTTGACCGTTTGAGCAAGATGGCTCACTTGGCGGCTATGCCAGATACCATTGATGGTGAAGGTACAGCTACGCTGTTTATCGATAGAGTGTTTCGACAACACGACTTGCCTGTGGCAATAGTCTCTGACAGAGATCCTCGCTTCACTGGGAAATTTTGAAGGTCCATCTTCAAGGTGCTCGGCACACGTTTGGACATGTCCACGGCGGATCACCCCCAGACCGATGGTCAAACCGAGCGAGTCAATCGCGTTATCGGTGACATATTACGCAGTGTTTGCGCTAATACACCAAAAAGTTGGAGTTCAATGCTTCCTGTTGTTGAGTTTGCGTTAAATAACGCTGTTCACGCCTCTACAGGCTTTACTCCGTTCTAAGTGAACGGTCTCACACACCCTCGCGTTCCGTTAACGCTACCCCTGCGTGGTTCAGGGCTTGGTGGGGGCGAGATGGCCGATCGGCTTGCAGATATCAGCCCTGCTACTGTTCACAAACAGGTAAGCGAGTTTCTCTCAACGCGCTTGAATGTGTTACGACACGTGCGTGATGCACTGGCTGATAGCCAAGATAGACAAAAGGAGCAAGCTGATGTTAAAGGCAGAGGATGTATTGAACGTTATAAGGTCGGAGACCAAGTTCTACTCAATGCTAAAAACCTACCTACAAATGTAGTCTCTGCTGTCTTCAATACAAAGTTGCGTCCGCGCTTCATTGGGCCGTTCACGGTCATCGCTAAGTAGGGATTGGCGTACACGCTCAACCTTCCGCGCAAACTGCGCACGCACCCGGTGTTCTACGTTGGCTTGCTTAAGCCGTATCCGGACCCATCCCATGTGAACTCGGAGGCGCTTGCGCCTGGAAATACAGCCTTGACGTCGACTGTTGCATCTGAGCCAGGAGGTTAAGCTGACCATCCACACGGGCTAAGGCCAACTCCAACGCCTGAACACGGGCTTGCATCGCGCCGAGTTCATTCTGGGTCTTACCCAATGTCTCTCGGAGACCACTCAGCTCAAGGAGCACCTTCTCATGCTCCTTCTTCGGTACCCCGACCACCACCGACGCTGCTCGATGAGCAAGGGAACCACCAGCTCCATGTGGAGAAAATCCTTCAACGACGTCGTCGTCGTGGCCAATACCAGTATCTGGTGAAGTGGCGAGGGTACCCGGAGTCGGAGAACTCGTGGGAGTATGAGATACCCCTTCGGCAGGACTGCCCATAAGCCGTGAATGTTTTTGAACATCGTGACCAGGGTCGCCTTGCGAACGAGAACGCTTCTCACCAATAGTGGTGGGATGTAGCGTGTTGCTCCGCACCTTAGGTTCGTGACCCGTGATTGCCATTGTAGCCGGAGCATAACGCGTACGTGTACGCAACTGGCCCCTGGCCTTGAGTTTGGCATACTCGAACCGAAGCTTTCATTCCAACCGAACGCCGGCCACATCGGCGCTGGCCCTCAGCACTGACACACTGCTAAGGTGTCACTTGCGATACACCCAACGGATGAACTGATTGTCCTCCTCCTCGGGCAATTCGCCAGCGAACAACAAGATGGGCACGCCCTCAATCGGTCGAACCGAGACACCACAAGACAAGCTCTCAAGATGCGCGCGGTACTGACCTTGCGTGGTAAAGAATGGATCGAGATATCTCTCATTTAGAGCCTGA